CTCTCTCTCTCTCTCTCTCTCTCTCTCTCTCTCTCTCTCTCTCTCTCTCTCTCTCTCTCTCTCTCTCTCTCTCTCTCTCTCTCTCTCTCTGTTCGAGTTTGTTCTTAGAACTACAAACAGATTTTGCTCTCGGTGCTGCTCTTGCCGCTGCTGCTGTTGCTACTTCTGCTGGTGGTGCTGCTGTTACTGGCAACGCTGCAGCTGCAGTTTCTGGCGCTACCGTAGGTAAACCCTCACCGCGAAGATCTCCCTCTCTCTCAGATGGGCATGCAGAGAGCAGTGGAAGCGGACACACACACACGAGGCACTAATCTGTCTCTCTCTCTCTCCCAGTGTCTCCCTTTCTCTCTCTCTCTCACACACACACACACTAGGATCTCTCTGTCTGTCTCTCTCTCTCATTTTCTCGCTCTCTCTCTCTCGGCAGTCGAGGGGATGAAGTGGCAAGAACATTAACAAGAGGCAGGATGCTGCAGCGCTTTACTATCTTCAACTTTGTTTATAGAACTATAAACAGATTTCAGGTTATGCAAGTTCTCACTTTGTTTATAGAACTATAAAGTCTAAGTACGACAACGTTAGTCTGTTGCACAGAGCTGCTCTCTCTCTCTCTCTCTCTCTCTCTCTCTCTCTCTCTCTCTCTCTCTCTCTCTCTCTCTCTCTCATTCTCTCCCTCTCTCTCCCTCTCTCTCACACAAACACACACACACACTAGGATCTCTCTCTGTCTCATTCACTCACTCTCTCTCTCTCGGCAGTCGAGGGGATGGAGTGGGAAGAACAAAAACAAGAGGCAGGATGCTGCACCGCTTCACTATCTTCAACATTATTTATAGAACTATAAACAAATTTCAGGTCATGCAAGTCCTCGCCTATGTTTATAGAACTATAAATCCAACAACGTTACTCTGTTGCAAAGAGCTGTTAGTTGGCACTACCGCCAGCATCCCGTGTAAGAGCATCCGAGGTTGCTCTCGAGCTCAGCGCAATCACATGCGTTTTCGCCCTTGGGCTAGTAACCTCTTCAGCGGCGGCGGCCTGCTTCCTCTTCCTTGCCCCCCGTGTGGTGGTTCCTACTGACAAGTCCTGGCTGGCCCCAGGTTCTATACACGACCCTTGCCTGCGCTGTGCTGCTGATGCTGGTACTGTTGCTGGTGCTGTTGCTGGTCCTGTTGTTGCAGCTGCTGCTGTTACTGTCACTGTCGCTGCTGTTGCGGCAGCTGCTGCACCCTCTGCTACTACCCCCGCGTCTGTTGCTGCAGCTGCTGTTCCTGTTGCTGCAGTTCCTGCCGCCTGGGACGCTGCAGTTTTTTTCGCCGCACTGATGACCTCCGGCTCCTCATTTGTCGGTCGTGCATCCGTCCCGGTTGCTTCCTCCTCTGCAACGAACGCGCAGTTGTAGTACTTGTCGGCCTCTTCGGCTTCCTTACGCCTGCATTCTCTGTCGATGGTAGGTCCAATATCATTGAGAATGCGCGTCCGAATGCCGATGACGCACCGACTGTTTTTCTCAACAACTAAGCAATTCCTGTTGCGAAGAACACAGACAATTGCACCATTTCCAGAGCCTGAGAAGCCATCGATGACGTACGAGCCAAGAGGGGGAAATTTGTCTACCAGCCAAGCGTACAGGGCGACTGGCTTTTAGTACGGACACAGGACTGCAAGGTCGAGAGGGTGATTGTACTTCTTCATCACAGCATCAAAAAGACGGTAGTTGTGGCAAGGATCCGTAGAGGCGAAATTGTAGTGGGCCGCCTCCCGTGAACCAGTCACGCTGTAGTAACCAATCACACAGAACTCGATTGCGCTGACAAGACGAGGGTCACCTGTATTCATGACATTCGGCTTGCACCATGTGACCACCTCCTGGCCTGCATTGCAAACCCTCACAAAGGCATTCCTGACATAAGAGAGCATGTTCACAGAGCAGAACCCAGCAACCGTCCAGAGTGGCCCTGTGCACACCTCCTTCACGTTCTGCAGGACATGGACAATGTCGTCCTCAGGAAAAGGTTGAGTGTCATCTGCTAACATCGAAAGATTGAAGCCGTAAGGGAAGTCGCAGATGACCAAAGAGAAGGGCAAAGGATTCTGCAAATTCTTCAGATCAAGCATGTCACCTTCCAGCACTTTCACTAACCCAGACCGGTCCTCATGCTTGATCTCAGTCCAGTCAGAGAAGTGGACAGTAGCTTCTTCAGCCAGTGCTATCCTCTGCCTTGACCTTCGCATTTCTGCCTTGCGCTTGTCGTCGAGCTCCTTCCATGCCTTGGCGCGGTCCACGTGTGCCACTAAAGCCTTCGGGACATCTCCCTTAGCCCTCCAATTACTGGCAAATGGCTCCAAGAGTTCTTTGGTTGTGTGAACCGGGTACAGTTCTTTGCACTCCTCCCACGTGCTCGAGCCCGTCTCCGTCAGAAAATATTTCGCCACATAACCCAGGCGCTTCGCCACCTCAAATTTCTTCCTCATCCCTTCAATCGACAGCTCCTTTGCGATCACCTGCTCGAGAATAGGAGTGACAGAGTCATCGTCCAAAGATCCCATCTCAACCCAGGGCGCCTGTGGCATGTCAAGCGGCTCTGCAACAATTTTTTCGTCCTCTACCGGAGCATGAGGATGGAAAAAAGCATTCGCTTGACGAAGTGCTTCAGCAACATCAAATCTCTTTTCCTTCTTCTTCTTCTCTGCAACCGGTTTCACTGCTGAGGCACCCTCCTCGTTCTCCACCTGGGTGCCTTTCGACTTCTTCATCGCAGGTGCCTTCAGCTTTTGATTCAGAGTGTCACCCTTCAACCACATATCAAAAATTTTGTTTTGAAGGGCCCAGACTTCATTGGACCGCATGAAGACCTGGAATTGAGGATTTGTTCTCTGCTGGAGATCTTTTTCAGGATTGGGAAAACCCAATTCCTTCAGACAACCAGTCTTCGTGGCAGCGTTCTTTCTGTAGCCGTTAGTCTCAAAAACTGTACGCCATTATCTCTGTTTCTCGATGAAGGTAAACTTTCTGTGAAAGCTCGCCACGTGATTATGCTCGTGTGCAATCTGACGAGCCTCCTCGTTAGTGAGACCGACGTAAACAAAGCAGTTCGCATAATGGAACTGCTCCGTGTCTGGGTGAAGCCTCCTCAGACGTTCTCTGGCCTCCCTTGTATGTCCTCCACCAATGACAAAAATGTTGTACCCGCCTTCTTCTACCTTCTCCCAATCCACGTCTTCCTTCCTGCTCACTTCTTTCGGGTCAATCAAGCCAACATGAGGAAGAGTGTCAGGGAAAGGGTTCTTCTTCATGGACTCAATGATGGTCCGAACATGCCGCTCGTCGGGCTCCCGAATCTCAAGGGGCCCCTTGCCACTCTCATCCTTAGGCGGTCTTTTCAGGCAGGACATCGGGAGGGTAAAGGAATTGTTGTCGAGTTTCTTTTCGTTCAGCTCCTTTAATTCCTCCCACATGGCAGCCAGACGCTTTGCCTCGGTGTCAGTTGCGAGTTCTTTTGGCACCTGGAGTTGTTCCTGCACCTTCGTTTTCCCTTTGCCAGCCTTCGACTTCTTCGTCGCGACTTGTTTCTGTTTCTTGGACTTTGCACCAGATCCCGCATCTGCTGCCGTAGTGGAAGCGACGCAAGTCTGTGGCGATGTGACATTGGCACTTTCTGGCGTCCTCAACGGTGGTCTGGGAGGAGGTTTGGAGGACGAGCCCCTACCCTTTGTCGGCGTGCCGCTCTTTAGGAAGCTACTTAGCGCTCATTTGCCCTGCTCGGAGGGAGCTGCTTACGAAGGGACGGTAAACAATATTCGCCAACGACCTTACAAAATTCCTGCAACGAAGTAGGAAAGGCAAGATCAGAGTTAAGGACGCCGCATTATAGAACTATATTTCCCGAAAGGCCCAGCGAGTTAGACTCACAGCGAGATAAGAGAACAGCATTGCAAAACAACATTAGAGAACTATACTTTCACCAAATCGAAATGCGATCACAGCATTCCTACAGCACTAATTCAACACATTCTAGAACTTTGAAGATGTGAAAAGGAATGTAGAACTCATTCAAGAGCATTAAAAAACTCTAATTTTTCTAACAACCAGAGCGAGATGTGATCACAACGAACTGTGATGACAACATTTGAACAGTATTGGTTAAACACATTATAGAACTATAGACGTTTGAACGACATTTTAGAACTTTAAACACTAGAACAACATTACAGAACTATAAACGTTTGAACGAGATTATAGAACTATAAACACTTGAACAACATGATAGAACTATAAACGTTTGAACGACATTTTAGAATTCTAAACACTTGGGCAACATTCTAGAAATTCAACAACACAAAGTCGAAGATTGGGGTGCTAGAAAACGTACCCTGAAGTCCTTTTTAACAACCTTGTTCAGTCGGGCATCGAGTTTCTTCTCCCACACTACCATCTTCGCACGCCTGAGAACAAACTGCACCATTTTCGTCCCCACCACCAGCCAAACGAGTGCGATGTCCTCAATGTTGTTCTTCGCCGACGCGAAGTGAATAACCTCTCCAAACGACTCGTACTTTTCTTTCTCCGAGGTCTAAAGAAACAGCTCGACATGCGTGGTGACCAACGTGATCGTCCACATGCAAGCAAAGTACTCCATGGACTGCTTGACCTTAGCCAGAACATCGACGGTGTTCTGAGTATTCTGGGTTCTCCCTTCGTCTTCCTCCTCTTTTGGATCTTCCTCCTCTTCCTCGTCTCCCTCCACTTCTGGATCTTCCTCTTCTTCCTTTTCCACTCCTTCCTCGCTCCCTTCTTCTTCCTCGTCAAATTCTTCTTCCTCCTCTTCTGGGTTATCCATTTCCTCCTCCTCCTCCTCCTCCTCAAACACTTCATGCTGCTCCGTAGCAGCCGCATGTGCCACTTCCACAGGGACCAGCTCCTCCTCGACTTCAAGTTCTTCCGGCGTGCGTGGCCTTTTCACAGGGGCGCCCTGGCTGCGCCTCCCAGAAGACAAAGACACCCCTTGGCCCCTCGATGGATTGCCCTTCATTTTCGTCATTTTTGGAACCTGGAAAATCTGCAACACATCAGTGCTTCAGAGAGAGAGAGAGAGAGAGAGAAAGAGAGAGAGAAAGACACACACACACCGGTCTCAGTCCACCAGCGCAGAGGGGGAAGTCTCAAGCCGAGAGGGGCCGAGTCAAATCCAGTAGGCAAAAGTCATGTCTCTATTGCCCCGGCGAATTCAAGGTGAACAGTCTTAGGGCAATAGTCACTCGGTCATACGACAGGGGCTCCTAACACAATGATTTTACAACTACACTTCAGCCAAAGCGAGATGCGATCACGGCGTTTTATAATTAGACTTCCGTCACAACCTTCGACAATTGTGCAGGGCTAACGAACTGCAGACCCTTCGACAGCATTAAACATGTACAAACGCTTGAACGCCATTTTTTAACTTCAAACACTTAAGCTTCCCCAGGCAAAAGTCGTTCCCAACATAAAGAGTCAAATCCCCAGAAATCATGTCCTTTAGGTAAGAGTCACATCCCACAGTCAAAAGTCGTGTTCCACAGGTGAAAAGTAGTGACTCACAGATGCGAGCAGCAGCACAACCACAGGCAAAAGTCAAAGGACACTTCTCCAGGCACCAGTCGTGTCCCAGAGGTAAAAGTTAAATCCCCTAAAAGCCGTGTCCTCGATAACGAGTCTGGTGAACCCCTACGAAAACAAAACCACCAAATCCTAAAACCTCTCTCTCTCTCTTTCTCTCTCTTACTCCCTCTCTAGACTTTTGTGTGGAGGCTTGTTTTTTTTTTTTTTTTTTACAAAAATTCGAGAATCGGGCCCGGTGTCCCTTATACTGCACTGCCAGGAATAGGGTCTGGTCAATAGGGCCTGGCGTTCCTTACAAAAGCTCCGTGGTCCAGTTCAAAGGCGAGGCATCACCGGCCAAGCCCAGAAACCGAACCGCCAGTTCCCGTCTTCGATCGTTCTACGCATTCCCTCTGATCTGTTTTCGATCAGCGAAGTTGTCGTTATACGCATAGGCTTGGGATTTGCATTATATAGTATAATCTTGGGTTTGTAAATTTTTACTTTATTTTTTTCGTTTCGTTTTTGTTGTTTCAAGCGAGAACTGGCCTCGCTGTCTCTAACTCTTGGTAATTGTCCGGTCAATGGATTTGGCTGTTTGTTTGGCTATTCGTTTTTTCTTTTCTTTTTTTTCCCAAGAAAAAGAAGAGAGGGCTTGCATTATATAGTATAATTTGGGTTTGTAAATTTATTTATTTTTTTTCGTTTCGTTTTTTTTGTTTGAAGCGGGAACCAGCCTCGCTGTCCCTAACTCTTGGTAATTGTCCAGTCGATGGATTTGGCTGCTTGTTTGGCTATTCGTTTTTTCTTTTTTTTCTTTTTTTTCAAGAAAAAGAAGAGAGGGCTACTCCGTGGAACAGGCTTTTTCGAAGGGATATACGGAGAGTCCAGAGAGTGTGGAAAGGGTTTTTGTTCGAAGGGAAGGGGTATGCGGAGGGTCGAGAAAGTGTGGAAAGGGTTGTTGTTCGAAGGGGTATTGTTCGAAGAGATACTGTCGAGGGAGCGTTCGAGTAGGCTATTTATTTAGTTAGGCTACTGCATTCGGCAAAGAGGGTTTTTCGATGGGTTTTTTTCGAAGGGTACATTTTGGATGGTTTTTTTTTAAGGGTACAACAGAGGGTTGAGGGGGGTCGAGAGAGCGGTCGAAAGGGTTTTCGTTCGTCCGAAGGGATACTACGGAGGGTCGAGGGAGTGCTCGAGTAGGCTATTTATTTAGGCTACTATTAATAAAATAAACTGATAGACCGCGCGTGGCGCGGTTGCGCAGCCAAGGGGCGAAGGGGTGACGCGCAAGGAGTGAGGAGGCATTTTGTGTTCCGGGTAAGTGGATTTCGTGGGTCTAGAGGGCGTCGTTGCGCGAGAAATAGGGCTGCGGTCGCCAACTGGACACCGACCGCTAGTCTTGTGAGGGAGCGTGATGGCAGTCGCGGGAGAACTGTGGCGCGCATTCGGTCGTTAGTGTGCTTTCCGTATATAGGTGTCTTTCCGTTATCCGACCGTTCATCTCCATTGAGATCGACGGTGCGGAATTAGTTCGGTCAGTCTACGTTTTTTTCAGGTTTTTTTTTTCCCCAACCGTCTGCACTTCTCCACAAACATGGTCCGGTTATCCAGCGGCCTAACTCAGTTGTTAAGGCTCGCAAGTGGCATTCAGGAGGTCGTGGGTTCAATCCCCATTGGCCTCATGTATCTTCCTGGGCATGCTTGGCGCCCGCCACCTAGAGATAGACCACTGGATCCCCCAATTGGCATTTAGGAGAGTCTGCTGATGTTCATAGGGGAGGGGACCTGAGGGGAGGCACAGGGATTGGTCCTGCTGGCATGGTCCCAGATGCAACCGGTTGTCCCCTAGCCGGTATCGCCCACCTGCAGGTCGGGAGTAGCCCCCGCATGTTCTCTCGTGAACACGGTTCACGAGATTGGTTGTTCCTTGTTTTTCTTTCATTTCTCTTTCCCATCTTGCTGTTCAGAAGGGACTTGGGGCATCCCTCTCATCAACCATTCGCCATATTAACACTTCGTTTTATTTACTGATCTGCTATGCTTGTGGTTTGTCCATCCTTTTGGACAGTACGTTCTCTGTCTTCCTCCCATGACTCAGCATCTAAAGGCAGCGGCACTACGCAGTCAGTGTGAGTGCTACCGCTAGTGGTGGGAGCGCTATTAGCTTGTAGGTGGCAGAAGAAGGATTCGGAAGCAAACTAGAACTGTACCCCCATAGTGATCCTTATTCATTGACTGTTGCTCTCATTCAGGATCAAAGGGTGCATGGTGGGAAACCGGTCTAGTGGGCAGTTCAGGTGGAATAATTCCATTTCACATTAAACAGTGTTTTTCAAAAGGTACTTGGTTACTAAATAGTACACTAGGTTGGCTTAGCCTTTTGGTGGTCATATTTTAGTGTTTTGTTGGGGGGGATAAAGTTTTCCTGGTTTTTCTTTTTCTTTCTTTGGAAAACATTTTCCCTGTCTTCCGCTCACAAACATTATGGTCTTATAACTTATAAGGTAATACCGCGTCTACAAGCAGCGGCACCACAGAGGCAGTGTGAATGCAGCCATCAGTGGTGGCAGCGCTATCAGCTTGTAGATAGCATGAGAATGATTAGGAAGCAAACTTTGATTGTGCCCATGGTGAACTTTTTTTTTTCTTTGTTTTTTTTTCCCCTTACAATACCCCCTGCAGTACTAGTGCTATTGGTAAGAGCAGGCAGCACTGGCACCACAAGAGAATCTCCATCTATTGGTTGGGAGCATTCACACTCTATTCGTGACTTAATTAGCGCAGGGACGTTGTCGAAGGCCGATTGCCGGTCCTTTCGTTAAAAAAAAAAACCTTTGGCGGGTCGACAACAAAAGCGCAGGGACGTTGTCGAAGGCCGATTGCCGGTCCACCGCTGTCCTGGCTGCGGTCCACCGGCATCCTGGCAGCGCCCCCACGCCCCGCGTGGTATCAGTCGGCACACGATGAAAGGTGGAGAAGTACAGTAAATCGACGATATTGGCCATTTTCTGCAGGAAGATGCACTCGTCTCGTTTTTCGTTTTGTGTGCCGTGCTGCGACGCCCTTGGTTGCCTTCTGCGAAAGGACAAAAAGGGAAAAAAAACGAGACGAGTGCATCTGCGAAAGGACAAAAAGGGGGGAAAAAAAAAAGCAAAAAATAAAAGACCAGACAACCCCCTCGCATCCCCTCCCACCCGGCTATCTCGTCCGCCCTTCCTCCCAAAGAGGAAACAGTGGACACGGAGGTCGCCCGCCCACCGACTGGTCTTAGACTTGTGGGCGACCGGACCCTTCGACGTGAATTTCTAAAGGCCGCATTCCGCCAAAAGGACCCTGCCAAAGCTTCATTCCGACCGATGACAACGACAAAAAGACAATGGCAATAGACGCAGCCTTTTGGCTGCAAACAGCCTTTTGGCTGCGAATTTTCGAAGGGTTTGGCGGTTGGGAAATTTATTTTTTTTAACGAAGTTGTCGTTACACGCATAGGTTTGATATTTGTATCATAATAAATTGGTTTTTTTTTTTTTTATGCTTTTTTTTTCGATAACCGAAAGGAAAGGGCGTCGTAGACACTGCTGTAGAGACTGTTGTCGGTGTCAACACTGCTGTAGACAACTGCTGTCGGTGTCACTGTATAGGTTACAGCTGGTGGAATAAGTTATTTACGCATAGGCTTTTTTTTATATAATATATATATATACATTTTTTTAACATATGCAGTAACCCTGTTCAGCAGCAGACCTGGGCTCAGAACTTTGCCCCTGGTAAAAACACAGACTCAGTTGTCTGTGTTGGGCTATGTGACCGAGACATGCCCAGCCTGAGTCTGTCGAGGAGGCTGTGTGACCGAACGCAGCACAAAGGAAATTCAACAGTCAAAGTCAACTGTAGAGTCAAAGGTACCGTGCCCAGGCGTATGGTCGGATACATTCACTTGTTGTGTGCAGGTACCCAGACAGCATTCAGGGCCGGAGGAATACAGTTTCTGGCCAATCTGGGCCCTCGTTCAAATCGAGATCTGGACAGTGCAGGACTTCAGCACCCGGGGTCCAGACCCCGCATCAACGCTACTTAAGAGTTGACTTCCTGACTGGACGGGCAGTCGGTCAATGCTGCGCGCATTGACTTTGACATTGACGCGTGGCGACGCTGCGACATTGCGACATTGACTTGACGCTGGATATATGCTGGCATAGGAGGAGGACAGCACGGTGCTGCTGGCTGGCATAGTGGCTGGCGCGCTATGGTCTTCTGGGCATGCTGACGTGGCAGCTGCCACGCGCCGTTGCTGACGTGGCCGCTGCCACCTGTATATGTTTGATGATGTGGCGGGCTACATGATTGATGAGGCTATTCTGATTCTTCACTTCAGAAGGGGATCAAGACTGTGGTTATCGAGGATACGTACCTGGTTGATGACGATACTCTACAGTTGCTGATGTAGACAGATTGACGTGGCACGTGGCACATTGAGGAAGAACTTCAGACATTGTATTCGGACTATTGATTGATGAGATGTTGAGGAGGAGGAGGGACCCGAAGCAGAAGTGGGCTGTTGTCTTCTTCTCTCTCCTTTGTYTATTCCCCCTCTCTCCTCCTTCGTCTGTGTATGATTCTCACCTCATTCTATCATCACACA